CACACACACACACACACACACACACACACATCTTTTTGACCATTTTGGATGATACCTTAGTATACATTCCTAGAAGTGGGGGGTCAAAAGTGGGATCAAATGTGTGATTAGGTTATTTTAAAATAAATGCCTGGCCAGTCAGATCATATTTTCTTAGCAGTAATAAGCTCTGGTTCCCAGAAAAAATATTTCTTAAAATCTCTCCTGTAAAGCTCAGGGGTAAATGTGCACGTGTATGTTTTGCAGGCAATTGCAGGAATGTAGAAATTCAGTTATATGTTGAAAGAACAAACAGATGTCAGCTGCATTATATATCCCTCACTGAAGTTTCTTGCTGTAAGGGCCAAAAATAACACTAAGTAGAGCACTCTTGAGATGTTTTATGTAATCCTGCTTCTGAATTGTGGCTTCTGAGAGCCAGCTGCAGTAGGATTGCTTCTAGGAATACAACCTGATTAGCTTTATTGGGGTAGAGGTTCCACCTGCTTGAATCTTTATTTTTGAGGTGTACTCATATCAGTGCTTGATAAGCTTGTTATGCTTTCACTTAAGATCAAAAGATGACTTAAATCAAATCAATGTATATGTTAAGGAGATGCTGTGCTAAAGGCAATGGAATCAAGTTGATGTATAGATCTCATGGGATTATTTTGTATAACAGGGTAGCTATCTGTCCTGGATAGCTCTGGACTGAGGTTTCCCAGGACACAGGCTGTGATTGATTATGAGCTTCTACCTATTCCTTTACATTTCTTAAAGATTGCAAATTTTATGCTAATTATTCATGGCAAATACTTAAAAGTACATTAAAGTAAAATCACATTTTTTCCATAATGTTCTTTTTCTGAGATTTGTAGACTAAATTCAGTAATGACTTTCATGCTTTTAATTAAAGTATGTTGGTAATACACTAGCATATCAGCATAACTTTACTATTTTCAGCCTATACTTTCTGCCAAAAGAGAGTATTTATTTATATGTTAAAAAGATTATTGAGGTGACTGTGTGGACATTGTCTAAGGCAGTGGTTCTCAACCTTGGCTGCACATTAGAATCACCTGGGAATCTTTTTAAAATCCTGATTTCTGGGCCTCATCCTCTGGAAATTCTGTTTCTTTGTTACTAATGTTGTGGCCTCACCCCATAACAAAGACACAGAATTTCTGGAGGATGAGGCGCAGAAATCAGGATTTTAAAAAGATTCCCAGGTGATTCTAATGTGCAGCCAAGGTTGAGAACCTCTGGTCTAAGGGATAATGGTAAGTATGATAAATTACTCAAATAGAGAAAATGTGTGTGTCAAATCTTAATGGTCTTTTTCTGAACAAGCTGAAGAAACGTTCCTAGATTCTTTGGAGATTCTAGTAGTATTTTGGTTTGCTAATAAAAGTCAAGGAAAGTGGCTAGCTTTTTGTTTGTCTGTTTTTAATATCTTACAAGATGCTTGTGTAAAGTGTTTCCACATCAGTAATTTCACATTGTCTTTATTCATGTATTATACAATATGGAACTGCACAAATTAGATCCAGGTCCTAAAAGTGGTAAGAATAAGAAGTTAGTAAGTTACTTAGTAAAATTAACTTCTAATCTTTAATTATGTATAGATCTCACAAATTTCGTTCACTGGGCCTCCAGTTTATAATAATTTCTTACCAATTTACACCTTTCCCTATACAGGTCTGTTTGTCCAACTGCCTGTTTCACATTTTTATTTGGATGTCTAACAGGCATTTCAAACTTGCAAGCAACTCTGGGAGGATTTCACTTGCATCTCAATTTAATGCCTTGGTTTCCCCATCTTCCTGGGGAAGGTTTCTGAGGCCATGCTTATTTTTCATGGTGCTTCTGCTTTTATTTGGAGTATTTCAGTTCTGTTCCATTATTTGTTTTCTGGTGCCTGTTCTTTTTTTTTTTTTTTTTTTTAAATATATTTTATTGATTTTTTACAGAGAGGAAGGGAGAGAGATAGAGAATTAGAAACATAGATGAGAGAGAAACATCGATCAGCTGCCTCCTGCACATCCCCTACTGGGGATGTGCCCGCAACCCAGGTACATGCCCTTGACCGGAATCGAACCTGGGACCTCTCAGTCCGCAGGCCGACGCCCTATCCACTGAGCCAAACCGGTTTCGGCATGTTCTTTATTCTTGTGGCATTTTTTAATCTAATAGGTAATATAGCCTAACTCTCACAAACATCGTAATTTATATCTATAAAAGCCTAAAAGCCACTGTTACGACAGAAGGACTGGTTGCTATGATGCACACTGACCACCAGGGGGCAGACACTCAACTCAGGAGCTGCCCCTAGCCCGCAGGTCCCCATCACCGATGAGGCCTGCTGGTCAATCTCCCAGTCCCTCTCCCCAGCCGTGCCCCCAGGCTGGAACCGGGAACCGGGGGTGGGTGGTGGCAGATGTGGCCCCTTTCCCAGGGGGGCCAAGGGCTGGCTCCCTTCTCAGGGCTGGTGGCCAACCTCCTGGGCCCTCTCCCCCCTCCCCCCGGTTGGCAGGTTCCCATCACCCAATTGGGGCCGGGCCCCAGGCTGGGATGGGAAACTGGGGGGTGGGTGGTGGCGGACGAGTGCAGCAAGGGAAGGAAGCGGTGGGGAGGCGGAGAGGCAGGGAACCTGATTGGCCCTGATCATCAATCAGGCCTAGGGACCCCACCTGTGCACAAATTTCGTGCACTGGGCCTCCAGTTTATAATAATTTCTTACCAATTTACACCTTTCCCTATACAGGTCTGTTTGTCCAACTGCCTGTTTCACATTTTTATTTGGATGTCTAACAGGCATTTCAAACTTGACCTGTTTCAAACTGAGCTACTTACATTTCTCCCTGTAAACTAGTTGCTCTCGCTGTCTTTTGCATCTCAGATAATGGCAATTCTGTCCCTCCAAGTGCTCAGACCTCAACATTTGACATCATTTTGATTCCTCTTTTTTTTTTTTTAATCCCATAGTTGGTCTATTTGGAAATCCTGTTGGCTTTACTTTAAAAATATATTCAGATATCAGCTACTTCTCATCACTCTCACTGCTACCACTTTGGTTCAAGTCTCCTTCATCTCTTCCCTAGTTTATTGCAGTAACCTCCTAACTGATTATATACTCTTGTCCCTGGTCTATTCTCAACATAGCAGCCAGAGCATTTCTATTAAAAAATAATCAGATTATATCACTCATTTTCATAGAGCCATTCAGTGGCCCTCATTTCATTCAGAATAAAATCAAAGTTATGGCTAGGTCTTATAAAGTTCCGTACAATCTGACACCCATTTACTTCTTTGACTTTATCTCCTCCTAATACTCGCCTGCTTGCAGTGTATTTCAGCCTCTTTGGCCTTTTTACTAGTCCTCAAACACTCCAAACTTGCTTCCTTATCAATATTCTACTCTATACTTGCTCCTCCCTCTTCCTGGAATACTCTTCCTTTTTATGTCCTAAGGTAAGTTAACCTCATTTTACTCAGTCAACCCTGTAGTGGGGAAGTCTTCTTAGGACACTCTATCTAAATTTTTTTTTTTAAATCTATTTTATTGATTTTTTACAGAGAGGAAGGAAGAGGGACAGAGAGTTAGAAACATCGATGAGAGAGAAACATCGATCAGCTGCCTCCTGCACACTCCCCACTGGGTATGCGCCCGCAACCAAGGCACATGCCCTTGACCGGAATCGAACCTGGGACCCCTGAGTCACAGGCCGACGCTATATCCACTGAGCCAAACCGGCCAGGGCTCTATCTTCCCTAACATTTTATATGTCCGAATTTTCTTACATATTTTTACTTGTTTATTATGTCATTGTTCATCACCCCCATTAGAACATAACTGCCACAAAGACAGGATTTTTGTCTGTTTTGCTCACTAGTATATTTCTTGGTGTCTAAAGTAATACCTGTCTATATAGTAGGTGTTCAGTAAATATTTAGATGCATGGATGGATCTATGATTGTACTAGACTATGCTTATTTTAATTATTATTCATTTTCTTAATCTGAAAATAATATTAGATTAAATCAATAGAATTAGATTTATATGACACAAAGATGCTTTAGGATATAAAATTGAAAGCCAGCATACTTTGAAACAAATATTCAGAAACTGCTGTGTGTACTAAGGATTATTTTCTGGGAATAAGCAGGCAAGGAGTACAACTGTACAAAAGTTGAGAAAATGCTATTAATCAACAAAAATTGAGAATATAACAGAACTGTACAATGAAAGTAAATTTAAGCCCAACTCAGAAACCTTCAAATATGACCAACCTTGTGAAATTAAACACTCCCAACCATGTATAAATGTTTCGAACAGTGGTTCTCAACCTTCCTAATGCTGCGACCCTTTAATACAGTTCCTCATGTTGTGGTGACCCCCAATTTCATTGTTACAAATTGAACATAATTAAAGCATAGTGATTAATCACAAAAACAATATGTAATTATATATGTGTTTTCCGATGGTCTTAGGCGACCCCTGTGAAAGGGTCGTTTGACTCCCAAAGGGGTTGCGACCCACAGGTTGAGAATTGCTGGTTTAGAACCATTGCTTTCAGTTAGGAAGTTCCTGATAAAACTAGGGAAACTAGTAATTATTCATATTAGTACAGGAACATTTTTTTAGAAAATGTCTGTGAAACATTTGTAGTTTCCCACAGCTGTCTCTGTCAATTTCTTAACTTCTTTCCGTTTCCAATGTTATATTTATTGGTGTTAGCATATCATCCTAAAAGTAAGTGGTATAAAATGAAAAGCATTTATTATCTTACAATTTCTGTAGGTTAGGAATCCAAGAACAGCTTTGCTAGTTGTCTCTGGCTCAAAATCTCTATATAGATGCAGTCAAGCCACCGAGAAGGGGACCTGCTGCAGTCTTTTTAAAAAAAATATATTCTTACTGATTTTTAGAGAGGAAGGGAGAGGGAGAGAGAGATAGAAACATCAATGATGAGAATCATTGATCAGCTGCCTCCTGCATGCCCCTCACTGGGGATCAAGCCCGCAACCTGGGCAAGTGCCCTGACCAGGAATCTAACCGTGAACTCGTAGTTCATAGGTCAGCACTCAACTACTGAGCCATGCCGGCTGGGCCTGCTGCAGTCTTGCTTGAAGGCTTGACTGGGTGGGTTGGAAGGGCAGGTGAGAAGGGTCAAGATGGGAAATTCACTTGAAAGCTCACTCAGTGATTATTGACAGACTTGTTTCTCTGAGTCCTGGGCAACTGGCTTCCCTGGTGATAAATAAGAGACTCCAAACAAGATGGAAGTGATAATCTTTTTACAATCTAATCTTAGAAGTAACATCCCTTCCCTTTTGCCATATTCTGTTCATTAGAAGTGATTTCAGCAAGGAGATTATACACCAAGAAGTGGGGATCACTGTGCCCTTTTAGAGATTGCCTACCATAAATATCTCTTACCACATGCTTGCTAGTTGTTCTCACATGGTAATAAGGACTTTAGCATAATTAGTTCATTGTCACTGGGGTTGTGGGATTTTTTTTTTTCTTATCCTGTGAAATTGAAATCAGTTTATTAAAAAAATGCACTTAAATGGGCAACTATAGAAAAATCAATAAAGCATATGCCTTTATTTATTTTTTAAGCAAATGCCTTTAAAAGGCTTTGGAAAATAATTTCAAGCATTGTGAAATAACCATCACTTCAGGGAACTAACAGGGCCAAGATTTTTTCCTAGGAGACAACAGAAGCCCAAAACAAACAACTGCTATTAATTGTCATAACCAATTAAGACTCCCTCATTCCCCTTAAATAAGGCCAAGCAGTAATGTAATTGGTGGGAATATTTGTTTTTGTTGTTATTTTAGTTTTGTTATGTTATCATAGTTGGTATTTGAAATGAAGGAGAGCTAATGACTTTGTTCCTACTAAGGGAAACCAAAACACTTGTCCGTAGGTGGCATTTAGTGTAATGTTGTATGTTTAAATAGTAACTAAAGGTCAGCAATCTTTTTTTCTGTTTCTTTTAGTTGATTTCAAGTTATTCATTTAAGAATTGGGTCTTATAACTTCCTAAAGATTAGTAACTCTAGGTGGTATGGTTGATATTTAGTAGGCCCTAAGGAAATTTTGTCTGACTTAATAAAATTTATCATTCTAATCAATATTCCTCTTTGTGTTTTTGCCATTTGAGAAAATAATTGTATTACTTTGTTTATATCTTTGTAAAAGGTGTTTGCACAATGCTTGGAATATAATAAGCACTCAGTAAATGTTCCTTTCTTTTTATAGAAAAAATAGACTGTATTACCATATAGTATTAAGTGCTTTCTTGGCATGCAGAACTAATACTTAATAGTGCATGGGTGCTATATAATTTTAAACTATTTAAATTTAAGAATGAATACATTTTGGCTGAACCTTACATTTCTAAATAATTTTTACTACTCCTAACCCATATCTTAAATTCTAATTGAAAGTAGTTTTTGACTTGAGTAATTTTCAAAACAAAATACTTAGGTGATTTCATTTTTCTCTTTCTACCTTCATTTTCCAGAATAAAACAAATATTGGATAATGCCTAAGCCAAGATCTTTTTATGTTTGGAATAGGAAATTCCTTCTGAATTGTGATTATTAGAATTGATGTGCATGTGCTTTCTACTTATAAACTAATGCTATTTTCCTTGTCCTTTTGTTTCACTGCTGCTTCAATCCTGATGCATTGTGCTTCTTCCTTGTTTGGATTGTATTTGTTCGCTGCTCAATTACACTGCACTAAAAGCTTCTTGGTGATAGCAAAGATGTCCTTGGCCCACCAAGTAAGTAGCTAAAGTTCAAATGGCATGTTTGGAGACATGATAATATTTTGATGTGTACTTATAAAAGGCATGCGGTATTTTTGTTTTGATTATTTAAGTATTCTACTTTTCTTTCCAGACATTGAAATATAAAGTAAAGAATATAGTCATTTAGTGCTTATCTGTTGTCAATGTCCATCTGAGATTGATAGTATTTGTATATTTACATCTGGATTATCTAAGGATAGATTATTTACTTAATTATCTAGTTAATAATTTAGGACCTTTTCTCCATAGTATTCCTTTCTGCAATCATCACGAAAAATAGGTCAGGCTACTTTGAGGCTGGACATGGTCTTAAAAAATTCACTGCCATATGACAATGAGAAATACTGTTTTGTTTTGTCAGAATTTTTACATAATAGATAATTTGGTTATGAAATGTATTATTTATACTTTGGGATTTCATAAGTGAAACATGTTTCATCTTAGGAATTTAGAAGATGTCTCCCCACCCCACCCCCCCTTTTTTTTAACCTGCATTGCTAGCTTTGGGGGATACACGATGAATAAAACCTATGCTCTGCCCATAAGGATCATTATAGTCTAGCAAGGGAGTTAGACTCATCTATAACAATAAAGCATAATATGCTAATTAGACCGGATATCCTTCCAGATGAAGCCATGGCGGCCGGGGCCGAGGCAGAGGAGGTGGCTGCCGCTGCGGCAGGAGCTAAGCCTCTTGCATGAATTTTGTGCACCGGGCCTCTAGTCTATATATATAGTCTATAAAGCCTAAGCGACTGGATGACGGGCCAGTAGCTATGATGTGCACTGACCACCAGGGGCCAGATACTCCACACAGAAGCTGCCCCCTGGTGGTGAGTGCATCCCCACAGTCAACCTCCCACAGCTGGCCAACCTCCCGCAGTTCCTCTCCTTGGCCGGCTGGCCCCGATCGCTAGCCAGGCCAAGGGGACCCCCCTCCCCCCATGTACAAATTCATGCTCTGGGTCTCTAGTGAATAGATAATTTTAAAGCATTGTGACAGGGGAAACTTTTGTTTTAAAGTTTTGTATTAAAAGTCACAGAATTACTGCCCTGGCCTGATGGCTCAATTGTTTGGAGCATTGTCCTATGCACCAAACAGGTTATGAGTTTGATTCTAGGTTAGGGCACGTACATAGGTTGCGGGTTCTATCCCTGGTTGGGGTGTGTACAGGAGGCAACTGATTGGTGTTCCTTTCTCTCTCTCTCTCTCTCTCTCTCTCTCTCTCTCTTTCTCTTTCTCTCTCAAAAATCAATAAAACATATCCTCGGGTGAGGATTTAAAAAAAAACTTAGAATTACTGAGATGAAAGGAACTTCAGATGTCATCTAAAAAGATGAAGATCCTGAAGCTAAGAACTGAAATGTCCAAGAAATTAGAATTGATTACTTGCCTAGTGTGTCTTCTACTGGTTTTCAATAATTAAAATATCACTGCATTGTGAATCGGACAAAGATTTTTAACTTTATTAAAAGCAATGTGGAAATTATATTGATTTAGGAAGTTTTAGTATTTTTTATGAAATATATATCTGACTGTTGAAAGTTCGCTCATTCCTTTGGGGTTCATTTTGTTGTTCCATTGGCAAAAGGAAGGGACTAAGCAAAATAATGGCAAGATTTCTTCTAGTTCTAAAATTATTTGATCTAAAACAATTGCTATTTGTCTCTAATGTATTATGTGGGGAGCCAGCACGGCCATGGCATACTTAGCCCCAGGGCGCCTTATGTGCCATGTCAGCTCAGCCTGGTTCAGTGACCCTGAGGGGGGAGGGGGGGTGAAAGGATTGAGAAAAGACAGACAAGAGAATGAAAGCTGGGTGTTGGTGGGACGCTGCTCCCTGATGAGGAGACAGCGCCAGCGCCCACAAGCCGTGTCTTTATTTTATAGCAGATGCCACGAGGCAAAGTAGGGGTGTGATCAAGTTGTTTACAGCATTCTCGTAAGTTTCAACCTCACTTAACTACATGCACCCGAACTCTATCACACAGGCACGTGGGGCCACGTGTTTGGACCATAGGTTCAAGCTTACAACCACAGCCGTTGGCTATGATTGTGCTGGGAGGGCCCTGCCCTCCAGCTGGGACTTGCACGTGGCAATGAGAGGACCCTGTCCTTTCATTAATCCAAGGTTTGAACCTAGCCAAGACACTGTACCCGCGCCCCATGTATTCCCCTTTACTTTTGTTTTTAAACACGCCCATTTACATTATCCAAAAAACTCTAAACAAATTATTCAGCATAATCAAAACAGACTTCTGGTTATTAACAAAACTATAAACAGCAATGTTAACAAGAGAACAAAACTCTGGCTAATAACAAAGCAATACCAATGCAAAATCAAACTACAAACATGTTAACATTTTCAGGACATTCCACCCAGAGTCCTTAGATTTAGCTCCGCAAGATTTTACAGAAAACTGACAGTTCACCAATGCTAGCATAGCTTCCACTTGTTTTTCTAACATCTGCTTGGCCTCAGTCGCTATCTTCTTCAGCTGACTCCATGCTGATACCTCGGCCACTTGCATAGTAAAATGCTGCCAATGCAAAACTAGTCCCCTTGATCAGGCTGTTTGGACGGTTGACCTCGGCACTGAGTCTGCACCAGTCCCAGTCAAATCAGCCCCGTCCACGCCGGTGGAAATCTGGTCCCTTCTCAGCTTCTTTCTTTAGCCGCTGCTGCATGGGAACGAGCAACCCTTGGTCCCGCAGAGCTGGAGACTTCCAACTCTGAGTCTGGCATCTCACACAGACCCAAAGTCCCAGGGAGCTATCAGGTCGCACAAGCAAAGATAACCAAAGCCCAAAAACAATGCAACTGCTGCAAGAGCTTACAATCTAGGTCTAAAATAAAAATTACTTCCTTAAACATCAACCACAGCCATCTTTACTTTACAGTGGCTTAAACAAAAACTAGGAGATTTTTACCTTATTTTATATCTTCCTGTTTACTTATTTTCCTACTGCTTGCTTCTTACTGCTTATTTTCTATTTCTACTGCTTATTTCTCTTACCGCTTATTTCCTACCACTTATTTTCTAACGTCTACCGCTTACTTTCTATTGCTTATTTCTCTATTTCTACCGCTTATTTCTACTTATTTCTTATTTCTACAGCTTATTTTCACCGCTTATTTTCTACAGCTTATTTCCTACTGCTTAGGTCTCTATTTCTACCACTTATTTCTACCTATTTCTCTATTTCTACAGCTTATTTCTATCTTACTTATCTTTAGCTTAACAAAACCTAAGCGATTTCTTATTTTCTACTGCTTATTTCTACCGCTTATTTATTTATTTATTTTTATTTTTAGGGATCCACTTCTTTTCATGCTTTTCTGCCTCACCCCTTGTCTATTTTTTACTTATTCTCTCCTTAAGAAATTTAAAAATGCTTACTTTAAAAATGCTTCGATTAAGCATTATTCCCATGTTTTACACCAAGCTAATTTTACCACACTTCAGCTCCCTACCTTATTTTTGTTTTTTGGCCTTCTTACTTTTGCTTTTTAAGCTTAACTTCTTACTTTCTTTTTTTTTTTTTTTAGATTTTTAAAATATATTTTATTGATTTTATTGATTTTTTACAGAGAGGAAGGGAGAGAGATAGAGAGTTAGAAACATCGATGAGAGAGAAACATCGATCAGCTGCCTCCTGCACATCTCCTACTGGGGATGTGCCCGCAACCCAGGTACATGCCCTTGACCGGAATCGAACCTGGGACCTTTCAGTCTGCAGGCTGACGCTCTATCCACTGAGCCAAACCGGTTTCGGCAACTTCTTATTTTCTTACTTTTGTTTTTTAAGCTTACTCTCTGTGCCTTGGAGCCTCCTTTCACCTGACCACTTTTTTAAATTACCCCGAACTCAGTCCCTGGTCGGGCGCCATATGTGGGGAGCCGGCACGGCCATGGCATACTCAGCCCCAGGGCGCCTTATGTGCCATGCCAGCTCAGCCTGGTTCAGTGACCCTGAGTGGGGGGGTGAAAGGATTGAGAAAAGACAGACAAGAGAATGAAAGCTGGGTGTTGGTGGGACGCTGCTCCCTGATGAGGAGACAGCGCCAGCGCCCACAAGCCGTGTCTTTATTTTATAGCAGTTGCCACGAGGCAAAGTAGGGGTGTGATCAAGTTGTTTACAGCATTCTCGTAAGTTTCAACCTCACTTAACTACATGCACCCGAACTCTATCACACAGGCACGTGGGGCCACGTGTTTGGACCGTAGGTTCAAGCTTACAACCACAGCCGTTGGCTATGATTGTGCTGGGAGGGCCCTGCCCTCCAGCTGGGACTTGCACATGGCAATGAGAGGCCCTGTTCTTTCATTAGTCCGAGGCTTGAACCTGGCCAAGACACTGTACCCGCGCCCCATAGTATTATTTTTTCTAAAAAGAGAGATGATTTAAGGTAATATGCTAAAATTCCTTTTTTAACTGCAATAATTTATAGTATTTTAAATATATTATTTATTATACAACCAGCATTATTAGAATAGTAGAAATTTTGAAAGTAAAGTACACAAATACCAAAACATTTTTGTTTTCTTATTCAGCTTTGTGATACATGACAGATATTTTCTTTCTTGTGTGTGTGTGTGTGTGTGTGTGTGTGTGTTTTGTTGTTGTTGACAGTATTACAGATGTCTCCCATTCTCCCTTTTTGCCTTCCTCCACCCAACCGCTCCCCACCCCAGGCCTTCCCCATACTATTGGCTGTGTCCATAACTTATGCATATGTGCATATATGTTCTTTGGTTAATCTCTTCCTGTCCCCTTAGATCTATTATTCTGTCCCATGCATCCATACCTCTGGACCTGTTTTGTTCATTAGTTTATTTTGTTCATTATATTCCACATGTGAGACAATTTGTCTTTGTCTAACTGCCTTATTTCGCTTAGCATAATACTCTCCCTGTCCCTCCATGCAATCTTAAAGGGTAAGAGCTCCTTTTTCACAGCTGTATGGTAT